GGGGGGGGGGGGGGGGACTTAAACCCTGACCTCAAGAAAGTAAAACCTTCACAAGGTAAGGAGTACCATTGGACCAAAGACCCGTTGATAAGATGACGTGGTATAAAAGCCCTTCAGGAGTTTAGTTTGCCTTGGGTTTTCCCAAGAGGATGTGTCGATTTACTTGTCACATCCTGTGGCTTCTTTGAAAAAAAAAAGAGCCTTTAATTTTGTGGGAGTATGTGGTTATGGCTATTTTTTGGGTGGTGTGGAAGGAAAGGAGTTGTATAATCTTTGAGGATAAAGAAGATTGTGGGGAGATGTTGTGGGATAGAGGAAGTTTTTGGCTTTTCTTTGGGCTTGCAAAGAGTTTGAGGATATATTTTCGTATGCACTCAATCTAAATTTGCTAGCAACCCGTAGTTAGATTAATTTTTCTTGAGTTTTTTTTTGACATAATTTTCTTGATATATTTTTTTGTTGTCTTCGCATGGGGTTGACTCCTTGCCCGCTACAATGTACTCTATATATTGCTCTTAATGGAAGTTTTGTTTCCTATCGAAAAAAATATGTATATCCCTATTCCATCCTCCTCCCTTCCAAAATACAATTCTATGGTAATCATTTTGCCCTTTCTTACTTTCCGGTTTGATATTATTAGTTTAACTGATGGAATTGATGTGTTGGTGATCCAAGAGGAAGGTGTTTTAAAAGGTCAAGAGCTAGAAAATGCTGTATCAGATGTAGATTACACCAAAGCAGTCCAAATTACCTTTCAGCTGTGCAGGCCTCATAAGCTTTTAAAGTTATTTGGAGAAATTAGCAGGTAAAAATCTCTCCTCCCTTCTCTTGGGTCGTCTATGCGGCATGCAGTTACTTTCTCTGAACCCAAATCCTCTGCAGGAAGAGACATGCTGAAGGTCAGATTGAGAAAGCTTTTCATGCTCTTGGCAAAGAGGAATATTGTCTACTTTTGGAATACGTTTGAGAATGGAATATGAAGCCAAAGCTCTTGCTCAGTTTGTGTTTTTCCGAGTTTTCAACATGCTTCCTCCAAAAGAGATTATCGAGGTACTTACTTTGACTTCTCCAGGTCACAAATTATAGATATACACACAAGTACGTTATATTACCTTATGTCTTGGTGACTTTGGACTACACAGGATGTTTAGGGGCATGTATATGCACTATGATAATTTAATACGGACTTGACATGTTTCTGCTTGGACCTCTTTTCAAAATTATGTGCAGGGGATCTAGATGAACTTTTTTGAAGTTCTTTGATCTGAAGTTTTCTAGTCATCATCATGGCCACTACCCTAAAAGTATTCCCAGAAGATGATAGCAACATTTGGATTGGAACATTCATTAGCGAAGATTTTTGTTGAACACCACGTTGCATTGCATATATTTTTCATTTGAGGATAAATTACTTGATCAAGTGTAATTAGCTGTTGCATGACTTCCGCATCTGATTATTCCAGCTAATTGACAAGTTTAGGCATCTCTTTTTTTTTTGCACTGTTAGGGTCTGACACATGAATTGAACTTAAAACCAAAAAAATAAAATAATAAAGAATGAAAAAAGGAAAACAGAATGTGATCATGCACGGAAAGTGGTAGATATATATTTGCCCCCAGCTGCTTTAACTCTGAAAATTATATGAACTTGGGAAATTCATCCAATCTCTATAACTTGTGAATGATTTCTATAAGAAAAATGTGAATGTTGGCTTACCTGTTTTGTTTGGTATTGTTTTAGATACGAGGCTTTGGAGAACTCCTTGAAGGTCTTATCCCATATTGTCAGAGGCATTTCAGTAGGATAGATAGGCTGGAAAGAAGCATATTCTTGTTGGACTATTGCCTTACAGGTATGTCTGTTATCGAACTAGAAATGGAGGAAAAAGAAATAGAAGACAAGTCTGTGAAGCATTCCAATGAGGCAGATGAGGAGCAATTGGCTAAAACTGCATTGGTGGAACATAAATAGGACCAGGACTAGGACCATGCAGAGCAGAAAGAGAAGAGTTCTTCGAAAAAACGAAAATCCCACAAATCCAGAGATGTTGCCAATAAGAAAGTCAAATGAGTGGATTTTATTTGAATAGTTGAGCCATTGCATCTAAGGCATAACACATCTCAGATGCTTTAACAACGATTCAATGTATTTGTTAGTTTATTTATCCGTCGCCATCTAATGCTCATCCTAGAAGTCGGGTTTTTTTTTTTTTTTGGTCGTTAGAAGTGGGGCTTGTTGCTCTACAAAGTTTTGTATGATGCCAATTTAATTTGTTGAGTCTAACTGTAGAGAACACATTTTTAGTGGGATTTCATTGTGTCTTTCAAAGTTATTGTATATTAATTATTCTGTGTAAAAATATTTGAACCATTTGCTCTTTGAAACACCCCCCTATATATAGTTGTATCAGGAAATGTGGATGATTGAACTTCACTGTGAAAATTGGTGGGAGAAAAAGAAAAACTAGAAGTCTTTCTTTGTTGAGGCCCATGTAGGTGGTACGCTGGAGAACATCAGTGGATTCTATTTAGCCTACTCTTTCAGAAAGCAGCAGCTCTGCTTACCAAATTTATGCTTGAAGTCACTGTCTGAAGAAGATGATCATATAGACGATTATGGATTTGTACTTTCCGCAAATTGATGTGGTCATCCCAATACTAATCAAAAGAAAAAGAGAAGAAAGGAGAACCGAAAAAAGGGGGTGAAAATAAATCATTATGTGGTTGGTGAAATTCGAACCAGAACTGGGAGTTACCTACCAATCAGACAAACTACTAAATTTAAGAGACACACCTAACCTTGACCACTTTAGTTAATATAGAGATGGGTGGTGGGCTTGGGCTTGGGCTTATTCAGATGTCTTCCCAAGTGAAGGCTTCCATGTGTGGTATTACTTACTCAGCTATCAAATAAGAGATTGAATCGAGCTCCACCAAAATGAGGAACGTACTTATTCTCAAGTGATTTATCAACGGCTCATTTCATCATCACATCACGGTGTTTCAACAACTGCTGTTTCTGTTAGCAACTCTTCCGTTCCTTTCCATCTCTCTTCCCGACAAGTCAGTCTTTCTCTGCCTGTCTCTATTTCTCTGTGTTTTTAATTATCTCTGTCATTTCCAAATTTCATCAGTCGCCTATCTATCTATCTATCTATCTATCTATCTATGGGTTTTGGACTAATTATAGAGATATTGCCTCTTCATTCCATGGTTGGTTCAAGTATTAAGAAGTAGTAGACCCCATATTTATCAGATCCGATACTTTGTTTAAATGGAGTATTGAATGATAGTATAAATATTAAATTATTAAAATATCTTAAGATAAAGAGTACTATTTATATCACATAGATTCTTGTGGGTAAAAATATCTTTTACCCAAATGCACCCCAATTTAATTATTTAAACCCATAAAAAATGTGAGTTTATTTAAGATGGTGTATGTAGTGTTGGGCCCAAAATATAAATCCAAATATGAGTATAAGAGAAATCAGATAGGCCCAGTATTATTTTTTTCTAATCACACTTTCCTAAAGCAAAAGCAAAAATAACTTTCCTAAATCAAACACAAAACCCACTTTCCTAAAGCAAACAGACCCCTAGTACTTATGGTGTTGTTTGACAATCGTGTGTTTTTATTTTTTGTTTTTTTTTGTTTTTGTTTTCACTTTTTGTAAAAAAAAAATTATAACATGTTTGGAGAGTGTTTTTATTTTTATTTTTTGGACTGGTCTGTTTTGTAAACAATCCCAAAATTTTAAAAACATGAAAATAGGTATTTTTAAAAACATGCAAAAACGGAAACATGTGCGTCCCTTGGAACCAGGTCTAGCCTTTGAACCTAATTAGCAGCAAAAAAAAAGGTTTTTTTTATTCCAACTATAAAAGCATTATTTATCTCTTTTTACCTCTTCTCTCTCTCGTTCATCGCTCTCGTTCGTCTCTCTCGTTCTCTCTCACAATGCCAGCGATGAAGGAGCTCTCAAATCTCACAAGCCAGCACTCCATCTCCATAAATATCTCTTTCAAGATTAGATTTCACTCCTTCTCTTTGTAACTCCTCTTTATGGAATCAAATTTTAAATTTGGGTTTGTTATATACATAGTAAATCTTTCAAGGTCAGATCTTCAGTGGTAGGGGGGGGGGGGGTTTGATGGTGGGTGGTGGTTTTGGGTGGTTAGTGGGGTTTGGGTGGTGATTTTGAGTGGTTAGTGGGGTTGGGTGGTGAATTTTCGGTATAATACCAAACAAGTTTTGTATTTTTGTTTTCACAATTTTTTTTATATAAATGACTACCAAACATATTTTATATTTTCAATTTTTATCATAGAGAAAATAAAAAACTAGTTTTATTTTTTCTATAAAAAAAACATAAAAATGAAAACGTTACCAAGTCTGTCTCTCTTACCCAAACAAAAGCGTCTCTCTCTCATTGGAGCTCACTAACACTGCGACCACTGAGACCTACCATTCCTCCGATTAAATCCATACCCACCCTCCACCACCACTACCAAACCCATAACCACCGCGGCCACCTCTTGGACCACCTCAGGAGAGGTGAATGTAATTTACCCTAAACATTACTGGCCTTTGTTCTCATAGACTTCATTGGCATAGGTTAGTCAATCGAACCTTGCTGGGCCTAACCCAACCTTGTTGGGCCTAACCCAACCTTGTTGGGCCTGGCATAGGTAGCATTGCACGCTGAAAGAGGGAAATGGAAAGCATTACATGAATCTTAGGTGTGTTTGTTAATCAAAATTCAGTACTTAAAAAGAAATATATTTGAAACTTATTATTTAAGTCTATTTGATAATTAAAATTTAAATTTTTTTAGGGAGAATCACACCCAGACTCCCTGAGGTTTGTCACTTAATCACTCAGACTCTCTAATGTTTGTACGCACGTAACACTTAGACCTTGTTATATAATAAATTATATCCATACCCCCTGAAGTTTGTAAACATAAATTACTTAGACCCCTTAAGTTTAAAATATTATACTTAGATCAAAAATAAAATATCAAATATTTTAAATTTTACAATTAAAATTCATGTTCTATTGTATTATTCACTTATTGTGTCATTTAATTTATTATTATTCACTTATTGTGATTCAATTATTTTTTTGTTGTTGTTCTTTTTTTTTTTAATTAGATGTTATTATTCACTTCTTGTGTTATTCAATTTATTATTATTCACTTATTGTTATTCAATTATTTATTAGTTATTATTTTTTGACCAGATTTTATTATTTAATTATTATTTTGACATGTGTAGATAACAAACAGTTAATTTCAGTGGATATCAAACGATGCACCATATAGCTTTCGATTTGGAGACTCCAACTTTTGCAGCACCAGGTTTTCTGGACTTAACATTGATCACTCTCCCTCCTGTTTGCTCTTCTCTCTCTATCTCTCGGTGTAAACTCTCTTGAAAATGAATCTAGAGAGATAAGAAACCATTCTGCATAATTATTTGTGTGTGTGTGCCCAATCCAATGGCCAGAAGACATTCCTTCCCTTCTAGAAACCCTAAAATCGGATATCCGATCCTCTTATCGTTCTTGCTATCTTGGCTCTCTCTATTCTCTTCTACATCTTCTCCGTGTTCACATCTCCTTTCCATAACAGCCCTATCCACGATTTCCAGATATCTAAACTCAATTATAAAGTTGAGTACTCCTTCGTGGCTTCACTCAAAAAATTCTTGACCTCCACCTCGAAGAATCAGAGATGTCATATGGTTTCGGATGATACAGTGCATACAATGAGCGAAGAAGATGTGAAGAAGTTGCATGATTTGACGTCGAAGAGAGAGACTGAGAGATTTTTCGAACAGTCATTCTAACCTGCATTCTCGCCACTGACACCTTCAGCTCTTAGGGTTTACTTTTACGAGATGCCATCGAAATTCACCCCCGATTTACTTTCCTTGTTTCAAAATACATATAGAGAGACTTCAAATCTCACGTCTAATGGTAGTTTCGTTCACTGACTCATCGAACAAGTGTAGTAACATGTTTCCTAATTCAGAGTAATTTTTTCCTTGACAATATATTTTTTAGAGGATAAAACTAAGTTTGGTTTTTTGAGGATTTAGTAGTAACTTTTTTTATTCAAATTTCTTTTTCTTTTTCTTTGTGTAGCATTCTATTGATTACTGGTTGTGGGGGGTTTTATTACTCTGGAATTAAAAAGGCTTTTGAAGAATGTTGAGAGAGTCTATCGGCAGGAAGAGGCTGACCTATTCTACATTCCATTTTTCACAACAATAAGCTTCTTCTTGTTGGAGAAACAATAGTGCAAGTCACTTTATAGGGTATGAGTGCGTTTCAAGGCCTACATTAAAGCTTTATATTCATGTATGTCGCTTGGTTTTTGATAATTACTATTAATGTCATCTACTGGTCTAGTAAAAACTATTTTTTATATTCATCCTTTAGTTGAACAGTTAACAAAAGGAACATTGTCTCAGGCAGTAGGTGTTGCCTTGATGATCCTCTGTTGCTCGAGTGAGTAGGTGATTTGGTAGAGTAGAAACTTATTCAGTGGGTGTGGAAACTACATGTACCTTTGAACCTCATCGGTGTTTTTGAATTGTGTTTCAAATTAGTGGGAGAACATTTAGAGAGCCAGGGCTGGATTGTCGGATTCTCTTTCCTTATTTGATTCTTCTACATTCCCTAATGATGGGATCCTTTAAAACATCAGGCTCCATCTTAGATGGTTCCTTAGCGAGAGTAATCTGTCAAAAGAATTGAGGTTCCCTTGATGAGTTGCTTCTGATACATGCTCTCCCCTGGAAGAACTCTGCTAAGCCTCCTACCAGGGTCTTGCCAAATCGAGCCAAGCTGGGACATGCTTGAGATTCCCTTTTAAGGATTGGTCTCGAAAATCCAAGTTCATGGATTACCTTGAAGATTAGGTAATCCTACACACTTGAGGTATTCCTATGTTAGTGCCTAGA